CAGAAGAGAAGTAAAGATGAGACACATTGACCTAAATTAACTGCTGTCCTCTGTCCACAGTGAAACCCATATAAACAGAAGAGTAAACTAATTGATTAAAAATAATGACAACTGAATAAAAAATTATTGAGAAAATACTTTTTTAAAATTACATCCATGGAATGTGGCCCAGATTTTGCCTACACATAGACATGGGCTAAATCTGAATTTCACGAATAATTATTCTGGAGTCACCACCACTGCTGATGTCCAACCTCTGCCCAGATGCCAACTATTACTGAAATTGCTCCCTGAGCTTGCACTAAAACCAAAGTGAGCAACAAAAGCTGGGGCTGGTTTCACAGGCAGAAAATAGTGGCACTGCAAGTGCCAGACAGCCCAGCTAACTGTGACCTGCACTGACACCTGCTGCACAGGGCTCTCCCAGCTCACCCCATGGGCAGCTGCTGCAGCCTCACGTCCAGGACAACAGGCAGAAAACTGGCAAAAATGGTGATGAGAGTCCAAAAAAAAAGCAATACTTGCAAAATGAGTTTTTCTCTTGGATGTGAATTCAAACGTGCTTAGGTCCAACATCACTCTGCAAAGAGATTTTAGTGCAGTGCTCTAGTGATAGCTGCTGGGTATGGATTAGCCAGTGCTTAAATTGTCAATCTGCAGTGACGGGATAGCAGTTATCTTACCTGAATTGAGGAGGTTGTTAAGCCATTGAACCCTGAGGTGTAGTATTCAGGTGACCAGTGACTTGTCCAAGCCCCAGGGGACACAAAGATGTGCTGGTTCTCCCCCAGCTGTCTGATCGCTGCTATAGGGGATGTGCAGCTGTTCTGAGATCCCGCATGATCGTCTGGAGGGTATTAGCCAATTGTTGTAAGTGTTTCACAAGACTCTAGCAGAAGAATTGAGTAGTTCTGGTGGTAGAGATCCCGCATGATCGTCTGAAGGGTATTAGCCAATTTTTTAAGTGTTTCACAAGACTCTAGCAGAAGAATTGAGTAGTTCTGGTGGTTGCAATCAAGTGCAACCACCCATCTCCACAGCTCAGGGCTGAACTGTGCAAAGCCAAGGCTGCGTCCAGAAAAGACTTCAGAACAGGACTCTCCATAAAGCTGAAAAATACATCGTGAATATGGATTGAGATAAAACGCTGTGAGGCTCACAGGGGGAATCATGTGCCAGTTCATGACATCCAAACGGCATCAGGCATTTCTCCACTGCCTGGTACCAAGGCATCCCACCTTCCCCAACGCCCGGCTGTACTACTCTTGTTCACAGGACCATAGTCCTGAACGCTTGTCGGGGGGGGAGAGAGGGGGCTGTGTTGAGGGGAGGAATGAGATTAAATCACATCTCTTGAAGACCAGTGGTCTCCCGTGTGTCACTCTCCTGCGCGCTCGGGTGTGGGGCGCTTCAGACTCGCGTTCCCTGCGGCTGGCCCTGGGTTACCCAGGAGCCGTGGCTCCCACAGCACAGAGCCAGGGGGAGCATGGGGCCAGGGCGCCAAGCACGTCGAGGAACGGGGAGGAAATTACAGCGAAGAGCTGAGAGGGCAGGCAGAAGGAGAGTTTTTCTGTACCTCCCTACAGACAGCTTCTACACAAGGCTTTTTCTTCCGCATAAAGTAGACAGTGATAAATCGAATTGTGGTATCTATAGTAGATAGCGATAAATCAGGATTTTCGGTAGTTGTTATCGTTTTCTTCTCCATTGCAAAGAGAGTAAAAAATAAACAACCACCAGCTTGTGTAAAAGCCTGGGGATGGGCTGCGGCTGCGGCTCCACCCATGCGCAGGGCTGGCAGGGAGCGGGAACCCACCGGAGGGGTTCCCTACTTCAGCAGCTTGTATCGAGGCTTGCGGGAGGCGCCGGGGACGGGATGGGTACAAACTGCTCACGGACCAAAAGCTGCCGTGTGCTCATTCGATGGGTCACAACCTTGTGTCTCCGGTGGCCGCCGCAGGGAGGGCAAATCCTCCCCAGCCGAGGCAGACGCTATTCCCTGCGAGGTGAACACATCTCACCCAGTCTTGAACCGATCGTGCACATTTACAACCACAACGTCTGAAACAGAGCTTCGCCCTGTCTCCGCCCTAAGATCAAACACCTTTCCCAAGCCTGACAGCGAACTGCCATTTTGTAGCCACGTCCCCTCGCAAGGACGGGGGAGCCTCCCAACGACGGGGCTCTGTGTAACCCGAAAGATGAACAGGGAAAATCAGTAACCAGCTCAAAGCCCGCTGCAAGCGCCGTCCCCGGGCAGCAGCCGTCGGGCGGCGGTGCCGCGGCAGCCGCGGTCGCGCCGCCCCAGGCGGAGCAGCGCGGGGAGCTGCGCGTCCGCCCGCGCTCCGAGGCCACCCGGGGCCGCCGCTCGGAGGGGACACGGCGAGGGCAGCCCGGGCCGGGGGTCCCCGGGCAGTGCGCGCCGCCCTCGCCCCGCGCTGGGAATGGGGGGTGGTTTGCCGAGAGGGCCGGTGCCGGCAGCGCCAGCGCTCCCGCCGCTCCTTCCCGGCAGGGCCCCAGCGGAGCCGGCGCGGGAAGGTGCGGAGGCCGGTCCCTGGGGAGAAACTCATCGCGGAGGCCCCGGGTGCGAGGAGCCGGAGCGGATATTGTTCTGGCAGAGGCAGCCGAGGGTGTTAATGTAGGCTGGCTGGAGTGAAATAAGGCAAATATTTCCGTTTGTGCCCTCCTGCCTCTCTCAGCACCGGCTGTCAGTCCCCGGGCTTGTTATCCGTACAAGGTATCAGTTTGTTTGGCTGAGCTCAGCAAGGTTTTCTTCTCCGAGCAGAACTATAATTGCTATAATTCTACTGTATCATTTGGATCATTGCAGTATTGTTGTTTTCTCTCTCTCGTTCTCTCCCTGTAATACTGCCATAACGCGCTCCAGTGTTAAATTAGCAGGTTGCAGGGGGAAGGGAAGAAGAGAAGGCGAGGGAGAGACCATAAATGACTAAAAGTTTGTTTAAAAAAATAAATAAAGCAACAAAGTGACTTGGCAGAGGAGAGCTCGCATCGCGAAGCATTTTTGCCTGCGAACGGGAGTACTGCGGACCCGCCCCACGCCCTGGGCCGGCCGGGGCCGCGTTTCCTCCGGCAGGGCCTGCCGGGGCTCCGGAAAGTGGGGAAGGGGAGGCTCCCCGGCCAGACTCGGGCACAGGGAGACGAGGGACCGGGGCAGGAAAGGAGTGAAAACAAGCTGCGGACGGCTGGAAGGCCGCAGCAGGGCTCCCTGCGCTCCGCCCGTCCCCGACAGCCTCGGGCTGCCTCCCGCCCAGCCCCGGCTCGCACCGCCGGCAGCCACCGGCGGGCCTGGGCGCTGCTGAAGCCCCGCAGATGCCGCACCCAAGGTCCCCCGTGCCCTGCGGCTGTCGCCTGTGCCGCTGCGGGTGCGGGTCCCCCCCTCGGGCACGCAGCTCTGCCCGTCCCTGCTCTGCCACTCGCGGTGCCGCGGCTCGCCCGGCAGGACAGCGAAGGGAAGGCAGATGCGGGCCGGGCTCCCCGGCTGCCCGAGCGCCGCTCCTGGCCCGGTGGTACCCGCGGCTCCGCGCAGCTTCTCCCGGGCCAGCCCCGGCAGGGAAGCCCGGTGGAAAAGTCGCGGTGGAACCGCCCGGCACGGCCAGGGCGAGAGCAAGAGGCGGCAGCCCCTCTGCTCGCCGAGCCTCGCCAAGGGCACCCCCAGGTCTTCCTGACTTTATTTTTTGTCGTTGTTGTTGTTAGTTGGTTTGGGATTCGGGGTAGATCTTTTTCAGTTGCTGAGTTAGTGAACTAATTGCCACTCGTGCCAGGGATGGCAAAAGCTCCCTAGAGCTGAGCACGGTGGCAATCGGCAGCTCTGCGCAGCCCAGGAGCAGCCGGGCCGGGCTGGGGCCGCGCCCGTCGGGGCGCTCCCGGTGCATCGCCCGGCCAGGGGATCAGGGGGAAACGAAGCGGGATGAATGAGCAGTAGGAGCCCTGAGGGGGCCCGCTCCCAGGGAGGGGACGACTCTGGGTATAGCGTCTGTCCCCGAGAAGGCACCTTTAGAGCTTGGAAGTGTGTGCCTGTGCGCCCTCGGGCGTGGACACAACCAGAGCGGCGTTTAGCCCACGCCAGCACGGACACATGCACGCACTCGCTTTTCTCTTAATTATCTCTGGTTAATTAGCCGTGATTCCACACGGCAATTGTGGCACGAACATGGGAAAATGGGGCTGTCTCCGCTTCGGTTCTCGGGGCTGGGCATCACCCGAACGAGAAGACGGGTTATTTGCGGTGACGGGAGCAGTTTCTCCGACGTGTTTGTGCTTGCGGGAGTCCGAGAGCAGGAGCGCACACGAGAGCGGGGTCAGGCACCTGTACCGTGCCCATCAAAACTGAGCCCAAACTGACCGGACAGGGAGCCTGAACTTGTGACCGCCCAACAGGGAAGGGAAAGGAGGGAGCACAAAAAACCGTCAGAGGTCTTCCGGCCCCGAAGCGGCGTGGAAAGCGCCGGCGGAGGGGCGATGTGTGTGCGGAGAAAGGCTGTCAGGGCAGAGAGGGCTGCTGGACAGCAGCGTGCCGGGCTGCGCGCCCTGCCCTGCCCGGGGAAACTCTTGCCGGCTCCCGCACTCGGCTGGGCCGGTCCCCGCCGCGCCGCGGCCGCTACGGGCGCTGCGCAGGTGCTGTCACGGAGAGCCCCGAGCGCGGACGCGGCATTTCAAACACCGGCGGCGAGCGCGGCCCTGCGCAGCGCCGCGCCCTGCCCGCGGCAAAACACGGCGCGGATCCCCCGGCGCCGCCCCCGCCATCCCGCCCGGGAATCGCCGGGACTAAGGAGGGGTCGGGCGGGGAGCGGGCCGCCGTCGGGGCGGAGGGGGGGTGGGCACGGGAACTCCGCCGCCGCCCATTCCGGCCGATCCGGGGCGGTCCGAGCCGGGCTTTGCCGGGCGCCGTCTGTCGGCGGCCGCCCGGCCTCCGGCGGGAGCCAATCAGGGGGCGGCTGCCCGCACGTGGAGCCGAGGGGACTCAAGAGCGCCGCGGCCGCCGCTCACTCCCCCCGTGACGGGCGTCCCGGCGGCACCGGGCAGCGCCGCGGGGGCGTCCGCGCCGCCGCTCCCGCCCCGGCCCCACGGCTCGGCCCCGCTGCCGCCGCCATGAGCGGCCCCTACCCGGAGGAGAGCTGCGCCGAGCGCCCCGAGTGCAAAAGTAAATCGCCAACTTTGCTGTCCTCCTACTGCATCGACAGCATCCTGGGCCGGCGGAGCCCCTGCAAGGTGCGGCTGCTCGGTACCGCGCCCACCCTGCCCGCCATCGCCGCCCGTCCCGACACCGACAAGGCCGCGCAAGGTAAGCCCCGCCGTCCCATCCCGCTCGTCCCGTCCCTTTTCCCCGGCATCGGGCAGGCCCGGCTGTGTGTCCCCATTCCCTGCACAGCCTGCGGCTCGGCTCCGGCCCCGCTCCCCGCCTGCACCGCACGGCCCGGCGCCGCCTCGGAGCTGCGGTCGCTGTTATCCCGTTACCGTGCTCGTTAGCGGCTGCTATGCTGCCAGGAAGCGCGGCCAGAGCCGTGCCCGGAATTCGTCACAATTCTTTCCCTGAGGGTCGGGTACCGGCGCTTTAAGCTGCTCTTGCTTTCGATATAGGTGTAATTTTTAAAGCCAGAATAAATCGGTGCGAGATGTGATCTGTGTGGGGGGAAAGCCTGGCCCGTTCGCATTAAAACCTGTAACGGGTTTCGGCCAGCGAGCTGGGGCCGCGCCCGGCAGCAGCCGGGCACTGATACCGGGCCGCCGGCAGCCGCCGCCCCCGGCCCCAAGTTGGGAGCAGCCCCCTCCGGAGCCGCGGGAGCCCGGATGGGCAGCTCCCATGGGCGGCCTCGCTCCCGCTTTTCCTGGCGTACACTGGCGGGCGGGATTCTTTCTTCCAAAACCAAAACTAGACTTGGGAGGGGGGAATTATAGGAGGGGGGAACAAAACAAAAAAAAAAAAGCCCGCGGAGGAATCCCGAGCCGCCGGGCGGGCTCAGTGGAACCAGCGCTGCCCCGCCATGTGCGATGTGGCTCGGCGCTGCCCGCTGTCGGAAGCTGCCGGCGCAGGCCAGGGGCTGCCAGAGACCCGCAGCCTGTCCCGGCCCTGAGCGGGCGTCGGGCCGGGCTCAGCGGCCGGGAGGAATTTCTTCCCAGGCTGGGAGCAGCGGCGCGGGCCGGGGCCGGCCTGAGGGACGGGGTGGGAGGTGGAAAACGGTGCACGAAGGATGGCTGAGGGACTGGACTCTTGCCCTGGGCTCAATTCGCGCAGATCCTACTGACCGTGTCTCTCCTTCTCTCTTCCTTCCTTCCTTTCTTTCTTTCCTCCGCACCCTTCTCCCCGCCACGCCTGCCCGCTCCGTCTGACTGCTGCGGCCGTCTACGCCACTTTCATGGCTCAGGGTCCCCTAAGGCCAGTCCCCCCTTCGAGCCGGCCGAGCTGCACCTTCCCCCCAAGCTGCGCCGGCTTTACGGGCCGGGCGGGGGCCGGCTGCTGCCGCCGCGGGCGGCGGGGCCTCGGGGGGACCGGACGGAGGGGCGACCGGAGGGGGGCGCGGGCCCCGTGCCCGCTGCCGCGCCGTGGGACACGCTGAAGATCAGCCAGGCGCCCCAGGTCAGCATCAGCCGCAGCAAAAGCTACCGTGAGAACGCGCCCTTCGTGGCGCCGCCGCCCGCCCGGGACGAGCTGGGCAGCCCCGCCGCGCACGTCGAGGAACGGCCGGGCCCTGCCGCGCCGGCCGCGGAGGAGGAAGAGGAGGAAGAGGACGAAGAGATGCTGGAGGAGGACGAGGACGAGGAGGAAGAGGAGCTGGAGGACGACGAGGAGGAGGAGCTGCTGGGCGAGGACGGCGGGGGGCTGCTGAAGGATGCCCGCCGGGGCGCCACCGCGGCCCCCGGGGCGGAGGGCGGGGATCTGTCCCCCAAGGAGGAGCTGCTGCTGCACCCCGAGGACGGCGAGGGCAAGGACGGCGAGGAGAGCGTGTGCCTCTCGGCCGGCAGCGACTCCGAGGAGGGGCTGCTCAAGAGGAAGCAGCGCCGCTATCGTACCACCTTCACTAGCTACCAGCTGGAGGAGCTGGAGAGGGCCTTCCAGAAAACCCACTACCCCGACGTCTTCACCAGGTACCGGCGCCGGGGCCCCGGCCGAGCGCGGAGTGAGCGAACCCCGGGGGGACGGGACGGGACGGGGCCGCAGTGTGCTGTACCCCGGCCTCCAAACCGCCCCGGCGGGGAATCCCGCTCGGGCACCCCGGGCTGGAGGAGACGGGGAGCAGGAACGCGTTCAGGGGGGACCCAGGGCCGGCAGAGCCGGGCAGGCCCGCCTGCAGGCCGCCGCCGGGCGCTATTTTTACCCGCTGCCCAGCCTCCCTCCCTCCGCGGCCGCGCCGGGATCGGTTACGCGCTGCTCGTGGGCTGGAGCCCGGCCCGGGGAAGCCCCGGCAGCGGCAGAGATCAAAGCGCCGCTGCCTAAAAATACCGGCACGGCACGTCGGGGCCTCTTGGTGCTCGGAGCTGTCCCCAAGGAGCCCGGTGGGGCCCAGCCCGGCTCTGTCCACACTTTCGGGGACATTTTCCCGTTGAAAATAGGAGCTCGGGTCTGGCCAGCGGCTCCCCTGCGGGAAGCGCAAGCAGGGAGAGAGGCAGAGCCGCCAGCCCTCGCTCGCGCTGACCGAAAATTGCATCTTCCCACTCCTGCCCTTAAGGCTAGAGGGGGATCGAGTCCCCAGAATCACACTTTTCGATCCCGAGTCCCCAGAATCGCACTTGTCGATTCCGAAGACCCTCCCGGTTTCTCGTTTGTTTTGCCCGGGGCTGGGGTTCGGGGCAGCGTTGGAACACGAGTGTTCACGGGGGCATTTTTCCCCTGGACCTTGGAGCCGCGCATCGCCCGCGGTGCTCACCTCGGGGCGCCGCCTGGCCCCGGCCCCGGGAGCGGCTGCCCGGGCCGGGAATGGACATACCGCAATTTTTTTCGTTGTTGGTTTTTTTTTTTACGGCTTTGGGTTTTGCCCCGGAGCTTTTCACTCCCTGAGGGCGCGGGGCTCCGGCCGCAGCAGGGTCCCAGTTCTGCTGGGAATGCTCCTCTCTGGGACACGGAGCTGATGAGCCATTTTGCAGTGCCTTAGTGTTTTCCGATTTACCTTAATTGTGGCAATGTGAAACCTCCGTGTGGAGCTTCCCGGCTGCCGTCCCCTACACGGCAGCTGCGGCTGGAACTGGCCGAATTTGGGGAGCGGCGGGGAGGGAATGCCAAAACCCTGGAGTCCCCAGAGGCCCAGCTCGGCGGCCCGGAGCCGGGCCGAGGGCGGCGACAGGCGGTGTCCGCCCGCGGCCCGGCCCCGCTCGCCTCGGGCACCGGGGTTTCGGGCGCGGGCGGCTGGCGGTGCCCGGGCTGACGGCGGCGTCTGTGTCTCCCCCAGGGAGGAGCTGGCCATGAGGCTCGATCTGACAGAAGCCCGAGTGCAGGTGAGTGGCAGCGGCGGGACCGGGACCGGCGCGTCCCTCGGCGGCGCCCCGGGGAAGGGTGGCCTGGGTGGCCTGGCCCTCCTCGGCGTCCCCCCGGCCCCGCCGGGGCCGAGCCATCGGCTGGCGAATCCCCGTGGGATTAAAACTCGGGGCTCCCGTTTCGGTTGTTAGAAACCCGCTCGGCCGCAGGTCGGGTATTTGGCTGCCATCAAATCTCCAATCGGGCTTCATAAAAGCCCACTTAGTGCTAGAACAAACAGGGCCATTTGAAGGCGAAATGTTGTTTGATTTCCTCTCCGCCTGCACAAGGAGCTGGCTAATGCTATTTGATTTCCCATTTTTGATAGCAATAAGCCTGCATTGATCTAATAGTGAGTGAGTGCAATGCTATTAAAGGTGTTTGCCGCCCCATACCAGAGTGCATTTCCCAACCCGGGTCTCATAACCAAAGAGACGATAAACATTGGGATGCCCTGATTGCCAACAGAAAACAGATGTCTCTGGGTTTGAAGCTGAGCAAATCACTTTACAGTTAAAATCGGGCGCTGATAAAGCATAATAAATTCCATATGGCTCATTTAATACACAACAGCTTCTTGCATTAGAGGGGCTAATGATGAGATTTGTCCCCTCCTTTCTGTTGACACATTTCTCCATTGTCAAACAGAGATGTGACAGCAAATCAGTATTTTCAGCTCAGGGGAACAAGTCGTGGGAAAGTTAAATAACTTTTTTAACAGAAAGACACCCCCTTTCTTTCTCCTCTATTCATGGCAGAAGATGTAATTAAGTGAATATGAATTATGAGAGTCCCTTCGTTTACCTTTGGGTCTACTCAGACTTATTAATTCAATAAGGGGGAATTGTAGTGAGGACAGCTTGCTAATTGAGTTTTAGCGGGGAGAGACGCTCCCTCCGTGCCAGGCTGTTGCCTTCCACACGAGCACAATGCCTCTTCATCGTGGGTACCCAGACAGGCGTGCGTGGAGATCCATTCCCGCTGAACAACTGTAGGGAGACTCGCAGCGCCGCTGCCTTTCTGCCTTCCGGGAAGGAAGGGTCGCACACTGAGCTTACAAAGCCGAGCATAACAGGAAAAACTCTGCCCACACCTGCCCCAAAAGATTTACAAATGTCTGTCTCTCAAAGTCTCTGTCTGTAGGTGCGTGTGATGGCCCCACACTTGGTTATTAACGGAATATTTTATTTTCCTTTGGAATGCGGTTTATTTTCCTCTACCTCTCTCCTGCTTTAAGCAGTTTTAGTTCACGATTTTTGCTTTGTGGGAGGGGTAAAAGGGAGAAAGGACGGCAGTGCTATGGCATCCTAACTAACTTTCATAAAATAGATCTTAAAAAGGGCAGCCTTGAAATCTGTATTTGCTGCTTTGGTTGCCTCACAAATTATTTATTCGTTTCAGACATCAATGAAATTGCGACTTTCCCCCCTCTCTTTAAATCTGAAGGGGGAAAAAAAGACTGCGATCCCTAAACCATATAATTTGTAAATATGCGCTTTAACGAAAAAGAAAAAAAAAAAAAGTCGCGGTGTGGGTGTGAGTGCGGAATAATTCCCGCGTAGTCCTCTTGGGAAACCGCACTGCCGCTGCTCCAGCGCGGCGGGAGCCGCCTCCCGCTCCGCGCTCTGCCCGCACCGCCGCCCTGCCGCGAAGGGGTGCGGGCTGCGGAGCCGCCCCTCGGACAGCCGGGGCCCGCCTCAGGCCCGGTGTCACGGAAAGCCGGTGTCGGTCCCGGCACGGCCCGGCACACGTGGGCCCCGCGGGCCGGCCCCTTGGGAGCGATCCCGCTTCGGGGGCGGCGGAGGAGCGGCGGCCGTCGGGCCGGTGCGCGGCTCCTGAGGGGCTCGCCGCTCCGAGGGCGCGGGCTGGCGTATTAAAACCGGTTTTTCTTTTGGCTTTCAGGTATGGTTCCAGAACCGTAGGGCTAAGTGGCGGAAGAGGGAAAAGGCTGGGGCTCAGACACACCCCCCAGGTTTGCCTTTCCCTGGTCCCCTGTCAGCAACTCACCCCCTCAGTCCATACCTTGATGCTAGTCCTTTCCCTCCTCATCACCCAGCTCTAGACTCCGCCTGGACCGCCGCCGCCGCCGCGGCCGCCGCCTTCCCCAGCCTGCCGCCGCCGCCCCCCGGCTCCGCGGCGCTGCCCCCCGGCGGGACGTTCGGCCAGCCGGGAGGAGCACAAGCCGCGACGTGCCGGGCGGCGTGAGCCGCTCCGGCCGCGGGGAGACCCTCACGGGCGGGTTTTGAGCGGCGGGCGCGAGCAGCTCGGCCAGGTTCGCGTCGGGACGCGCTCCCGCGGGAGCCCGGTGCGCGCTGCCTCCTCCCGGCGGGCAGCCCCGGTGCCGGGAGCGACCGCGGGACCGGGGCTTCCCCGCGCATCCCCGCAGCCCCGGCCATGCCTGTGGCAAGCGGGGGAGCACCAAGCTCAGCGATTTTTACTCTTTTTTTCACCCCCCGAAAAAATGTTTTCCTGCCGGGCGTCGGGTCTTCCCGGCGCGTCCGTGTCCCCTCGCGTCCGCGCTGGGCGGGAAGGGGCCGGGCGGGTCCCGGCGCGGCGCTGACGGCCCCTGTGCTTCCCTTGCAGGCTCTTTTCCACCATGTCCCCCCTGGGCAGCGCCTCCAGCGCCGCGGCGCTGCTGCGGCAGCCGGCGCCGGCCGCCGAGGGCGCGGTGGGCTCGGCGGGGCTGGGGGACCCGGCCAGTGCCGCCGCCGACCGGCGGGCGTCCAGCATCGCCGCCCTGCGGCTGAAGGCCAAGGAACACGCGGCCCAGCTCACCCAGCTCAACATCCTCCCCGGGAACAGCACGGGGAAAGAGGTGTGCTAAGGCACGGCTGCCGGCCGCGGGGTGCGGGTCAGGGTTTTTTTTAGGGGGGAGAGAGAAAAAGAGGGAGAGTAAATAGGCGAATCAATAAAGGTCACCTCAGACAGCATGAATCAAGACCAAACGGGGGGAAAAATAATAATGATTTTTTTAAAAAGGAGGACCAGCAGCTGAGACTGTAGTAGGTCCTCTCGTTAGGAACTTGGGGAAAGTGAATGCCTCTCGCATCAGCCCTCACACGAGTGAAACGACACTTAAAACCTCCTGAATAAGTAACTCCTTGGCTGGTACATTTCTTAAATGTACGACGTGTCCATTTCCTCTGTGAACATAAGGGGGGAAAAAGTAAAAAAAAAAAAAAAAAAAGAAAAAAAAAAAAGAAAAAACCCTAATAAAAGTTACTCTATATTAGCGTTTCGTACACGAAATATTTTTCCTTCTGTTTATCTGGCAAGAAAAAAAAAGAAAGAAATAGAATTTAATCAAGAAAGTGAAACAAAAAACAATAGAGAAGCTAAGAGAGGGGGAAAGCTACCCACATCTTCTTAAAATAGCATCCTAGGATGTTAAGGTGGTCAGTTAGAAGCGCTGGAGAACTATTTTACATGTTGCAACGAGCTGCATATGCTAACCAAGGATGCTGACAGTGCAAACTGAAAGTAAATTTGATGCTGTAAGATAACCAGTGCACTTAGGGGAAAGGGTATATCTTTTTCTTGTTATATTCTTTATCACTACACCAACCAAGGTTTTTATATCAAACCAAAGCGAAATACACTGCTAGAATATGGACTGTTTAAGTCACTAAACTGTGATTATTAATTCTGTACATACCATTGTTATAAAAAAATGAACAGAGCTTTGTATATTTGAAAAGTTATAAAACAATTGCACTCAGTGTAGTGTTGTAAAAGTTTGTCATTCTGTAGATTCTTACTGTGTTGTAGATATAATAGGGTTCCTAGACAAATATTTATGTACAAACTCTTTATTTAACTTATTAACTGTAGAGGTTTCTGAAACCCTCAAGAGGCGATGGTACAGTACTTTTTTCGTGTAATGTCGTTATTGTTAACACTTTTCCTTGCTATCCGGTGGAGAAGTGCCACGTTCAGAAAATAAACAAAAATATATGTTTAACAAAAAAAAAAAAAAAAAAAAATATTTTTAAAAAAAAAAAAAAAAAAAAAAAAGGCATCAAAAGAAAAGCAAAAAGCCCTGTCCTTGCGGGGGCTGCGGGCCCGGGGGCGGCCGGGGCTGAGCCCCGCGGGTCGGGGCGGGCGCGGGGGCTCGGCCGGGCTCGGGGAGCTCGGGCCGCGGGGGCGGCGCCGTGCCCCGGTGCTCGGGCCGGGCCCGTGCCGCGGAGCCGCCGGGCGGGCACGGGACACCGCCCAAAGTCGGGAGCGGGGGAGAAAACCCGGAATTTTGGGGAACGCTTGGCCGCCCCCGCACGTTTGGGGTTATAAAAGTTTCTCTGTGCCTGCCCCTTCGTTCTCCTAGAGGTGAACTTCCGTTTCTTCCCTCTTCCTTTATTAGTCCCCGGGTGGATTTCTTCCTCGTCTCTTTTTTTTTTTTTTTTTTTTTTTTTTTTTTTTTTTTTTTTTTTTTTCGTTTTTTTGGGGGGGGTTTTTGGGGGGCTTTTCTTTTTTTGCTTTTTGGTTTTTTTTGTTTTCTTTTTTTTTTTTTTTTTTGGCCGCAGCGGTCCCGTCTGCCTCTTCCCCGGAGCAGGGGCGAAACGCGGGCAGCCCCCGGCCGCCCTCCCCGCGGTCCCTCCCCGGCCGTGATGAGTCCTGGTCCCCCCCGACCAAGCCCCGGGCTCCGGACGGGCTGTCGGACAGCCGGGATGTGTGTGGGATGCTTTTCTTGGGTGATTTGGTCCAATCTCGGCCCCGCTCCTCATCGTCGGGCCGGGGCCGGAGAAGAGCCCCGGGGACCGAGGGGCCCCGGCTCCGGGAGGCAGCGGCCGGGAAGCGCCGCTGGAGCGAGCACCGCGCGTGGGAGCCCGCCGCGACCCTTCCCGCAGCTCCCCCTCCGCCCACGGCATTTCACATCCCACACCCCCCAACCCCGCCCGCCCCCAGCCGTATTTTTGAGTTCTAAAACCCACCATAGGCGCGAAAAAAAAAAATTTATGGGAAAAATAAGGCTTGTTCCTTGGACGTTATTAACAGTGCTGCCTGAAATATACATTTTTGCCTCAAAGAAAAGGGAATCATTATCAAGCCATTAGGCATTAAGAAATGTCATTCAGTCATTTTTATTCATTCTGCTGAAATCTTCGTAAAAGCCCGAATCATACTTCTGCAAGCAGCAATTTTGTTAATCCAGGGGGTTATTACTCTGGTCCCTTATTAGGATCTATACTGCTGCCAAGCAATCCTATAACCTTCTCAAAAGAAGTTTACCTCCGTGTTATAAAACCAGTAGTGGTATTTATACTGTGCAATAATTAGTGTATTACCTGAATCCACTAACAGGTTCATTTTATCTCCGCACAAAACCCCTAGTCTGCTTATAGAAAGCTTGTGCCTCCTTTGGTGCTGTTAAAGTGGTGAAAGAGTGAATGAAGGCTGGTAGCACTTTCTCCTTTCGCCGTGCCTTAATTCCCATCTCTTTTTGCTCTCATCCAATTAGTGCAGTGTATTAAGCGGTTTATCATCTCATAGTCAGCTATTGAGAGAAACAAGGCGAACACTTTGCAATAGAGCCTGCTCTCCTTTGACACCCTCAGGTACTTACATATTCCACTGTGCTATGAATAATAGAGGAAGAATAGAGCGCTAATTCCCTCATCAAAGAATGCCTTGTCTGCTGCTTTGCTCAACAACACCATTCTGATCAAAAGAAAAGCAATAAAGCTTAGCATAACAAAACGAAACCTACTTATTAGCTTAGTGGTTAAATTAATGCAGAGCCGCTGCTATTCAAAACCAAGGTTTGAAAACAGCCTCCAACAACCTGATAATGCTGCCTTCGGGATGAAGGAATTTTAATCTGAAATTTGAAGCTGGCACAGATGAGTTAATCTATTAAACTGCTATAAGGAGGGTGCGGGAGAACTATTCAATTAAGGCACATTTAAGGTGCCCTGCAGAAGACGGGGATGGATTCGAAGGGGAAGATGTGCTCCGCTTCGGCCTTAGAAAACTGCCTTTGGCGGCGAAAAGAGGGATTTTGGCACAGCAGCAACCGTGTTTGCGGATGGGAATTCTTTTTCATATCGCATATGTCATCAGCGAAACCTGGCCACCGGCTCCATATATCAACACTCCTCTTCCCCAACTGCAAATAAATACAAATAAACACGAACCTTAATTCTAACAGCACGCGGTGGGGGAGGGGGATATGAGGAGGAAAAGGAAGGGAAGGCGATTCAGGCCAGACCAGCCTCAGAATGCAAACCTCCGAACTTCAGTTTTCCCAAATTATTTACAGCGCAGCGTTTATCAGCTCCATTTAATATTAAATGCTATAAAGATGATTTTGCATTTCCCAGCCTTTCTGAGGGGCCAAGACGAGGCACGGTGCCCAGAGCTGATTAGAGAGGGAGAGAGGAGGAGAAAAAAAATCCGGTTTACTCCTTGCCAAGACTTCAGCTCTGATCTGACCAGCTTTGCTGAGAGGAATCAAAAAAAGCCTCCATTCGGGGTAAAAGCCCTCATTTCCCATCGCCAACCCCCCGGGCTGTGGCTGCCCGGGGTGGCGGGGGCTCCGGGGCTGTGCCACTCACGGCTCCTCCGCCTCGCTGCGTGGGGGGAACAGCCCCTCGCAGGGCCACTCCGTGCTGCTGCGCCCTACACAGTCATTCCACAACACTCTCATTTAATCTAAACATCCCTAAACTTGCAAATTAACAGGCTCTTCAGCTGTAATTATACAGATACATACAAGTGCCACAGGGTCAGGTTACGCCATATCTATCCATTTTATTTGTACACCTAACGTTTGGAGGAGAAGGTCACACTTTTCACTTTCCTAAGGCATTCTACCCAGTAGAATCAGTATATATCAGTAATATTTTCAAAATCCTAATTGGGCTGGACACAAAAAATCTAAAAATCCCTGCATGGAATTACAAGAAACCAGGATCTTTTGAAGTTCTGCAACTTCAGTACAGCATCTTGGCAGCAACACCTTCTTTCCAAGACAAGACTCCAAATAAAGTCTGTTTTACAATATTAACCCAACTAAACATATTGGAAAGGATCAATAGCTCACCAGGGTGGGACAACACCTGCACAACACCAGAGACTGCACAGATTCCATTTCTCACTGTAGTGATTCCATGTGAGCAGAAATGAAAGGGTTTAGTTCCAAAAGTTGCTAGGAAGATGACTGTGTATTTAGGCATATTCAAACTGACACTACCCATACTGACACACAGCTTCTCCCAAATGCCACTCTGGGGACAAATGAATGTCACAAAATACTCTGAACACAAACAGACACATGAATCCCGACAGTGCCCAACATGTTCATACTGATCCTTTTACTTTTTCCTCAAGCTCCCTTTGTTAATGGCTGTTCATCCTAAAAATAGACACAACAGCAATTCTGTAAGACCAGGAGAAGTCCAGAGCAATATCACCTAGCATGGGCTATTTTCAACCATCAGATCAGAGAATCAAATTCTCTTTTACTAGAAAACTTTATTTTCCTTCAAGTGTGAAAAAACTTTACATTTTACACTGTTTAAGATTTAAAAGCATTTTTTATAACCTTACATTAATATATCACATTGCAAACTAAACAGTGAACAGAGTACAACAATATTTTGTATACAAAAGCATGTACCCAAATTTATTCTCTTGTCATATCTGCTTGTCATTTTATTAGAAGTAAATGAAAAATACAATTTGTTTGTAAAAACTGTAAAATCTCCAACACAGTAATTATTACAGAACAGTAGCTATGATTTGCTGCTTTCCATTCCCCTGTTATTGGTTACAATGCCATCCCAAAAATATTTTTCTCTATCGATTGCTTACTTTCAAATACTTTGAAATGAAACACATTTATATCCTTTGCATGAGTGAAATGGGTTTTGTTCATGTGCATGGCTTTACATCCACACAGAAATTTTCAACGTGGCAAAATGCTATGCTTAAAGATGCTTGGAAAGACTCCTAATAAAAAGATGGTCCCTATTTTTAGCACCTCCAGGTTTCAGTCGTTCTTTAATGAATTTCAAAGTAAAGCGTCCCTACCTCTGTTCAGAAGGTAATAGGACATTTAAATGCATTTAGGTTTAGTATTGTTTTTAATTGGTATGTTTATGATCAGGAAGAAGATAAACCGTGAAAAGGCAAAACATTAGTGCTCCTACTGAGACCTCTACTAACCTCTCTTCCTGAGAGCACCTCTAGTAAATACCCTGGAGCAAAGTCTAGGATCACTTACATTCCAGCAACTCTCACTGGGAATTATCCAATTAAAGCAGCAATTCCCCCACCCCCTTTTCCCTCATAGGTCTAAATACACAACAAAAAATATTGCAAAAATCAACTACTCCATATTTTAATAACCCTGGTTTCTCAATGAAGAAAAAAAAAGAAGATAAAAACACCTTGAAATACTTTATATCCACGACAATCATACATCCTGTTTTCATCTCCCATTTTTTCTCCTCCAAAGAGACAAGATTATTAAAACATCATTGTACATACTGAAATAGAGTATTGCTGAAGAGATCATTACTGATGAACAAGGGACTAGCCTCCCTCCATTTTTAATCAATCACTGTCATTCATTACTGGACTCTCCCACAGATCTATCTTCCTATACTGACGGTGAAGAGTTTGCCAAGGTTCACTTCTGAGTAGCCACTCATGGCCAGGCATTTGTCTACGGTGCTCTTCAGTCTTTTGTAGGCCTCAGAGACTTCCCTCCTGAGTGGCTTCTTCTTCAAATACTCTAGAAGAACAAAGAGAAAAAACCCAAAACACAAAGAGGGATTAAATGACCACAAAAAGACAGGATTTTTGCATTCATTAGACTGTGAATCGAGGTATTTTAAAACGAGGTGAATGTTGTAGTTACCCAAGAG